GCCAAAAGCAGTACCTAACCTGAGTCAGCATGAAATGCTCATGCCTGGCCTTGGTGCCTGTCCACACTCGTGACCGGAGCCTGATCTGGGCGTCCACAGTTTGACCAAATCTCTCACTGCCCCATCAGGAAAGTTTATCTGGTGCGCTCATGGAATCCCTGTTACACTGAAAACAGGTTACCCTATATTATTAGTCTTTGTGTAGAATATTCTCATACTTCTTTGCATTAACTGCAACCCAACTTTTTTTTCCCCCTCAATGTAATAGTTATCACATTCACCTAACCCAACTATTTTTTAAAAATGATGTCCTCTCAAAATGCAGCTGCTACATTGCCCACAAAGTTGGAAGAAAAGTGGAAATGGTGAGAAGAGGAAAGTCTGCATTTTTGCTCCTGCATTCTTGTTGTTCCCTTTGCTGACATCAGACCATTATTTCTTCAGCATATAAAAATGGCCCCTTAAATAAATAGTTGTGAGGGTTGCAAAACATTTTGAATAAAATCAGTGTGATTGAATTGTACGCCTAAAAATGGTTCAATGACAAATTTTATGTCATGCATTTTAGGCTCCGTTGAGGCCTATGCCATCTGCCCACCCGAGACTCTGCTCCTTCTCCTCACTGTCATCCTCACGCCTGTTCCTTCCCTCACAATGATCTAGGACGCCGGTGCAGCGCTCTTTTATCTTCTCAATTCCAAGTCAGACCTACACTCAAAACAGCAAAAAAATGAATTTGCATGCAAAATCTGAAACAACATAATAATGATATACATTTCTTTAAAAATATCTGGAAGATGTATGTATGAGCCCAGGTAGGAGATTCTACTGGGAAAACCAGAATCTGTAATTGGGGCGGTGGGGGCAGGATAAGAGATTTGACTTTATTATAACTTAAAATGTATGACTAGAAAGAAAAAATCTCCGTAATGTCTAAAAGCAAATGATAGGAGGAAAATACTTGTGACAACAGGTATTTCAGAGGAAAATACAGGTAAGTTGAGAAGATGCTCAAACACACTAGAAGTTAGGGAAACACAAACTATAACTGGGATACACCATTTCTCCCCTCCTTTGTGTAATAATAATAAGCCAAAATTTAAAACATTGACAACATGTGGAACTGAGAAGAGGAGCAGAGGAGGACCGATATTCTCATCCATTGCGAGTGGCGGTAAAATTGCTGCAGTATTTTTGTAACGTACTCACGTAGTATCTGGTAACATTTTTTTGGTTGTTTTTATTCAAGTACAGTTGACTTCATTTTCCCCCACCACTCTCCCCCGCCCCACCCACCCCCATGTCCCACCCTCAATCCTTCCCCACTTTGGCTTTGTCCATGGGTCCTTCATACACATTTCTTGATGACCTTCCCCTTCTTTCCCCCATTTATCCCCCTCTCCCTTCCCCTCTGGTTACTGTCAGTTTGTTCTTTATTTCATTGTCTCTGGTTCTATTTTGCTCACTTGTTTGTTTTGTTGATTAGGTTCCACTTATACGTGACATCATACGGTATTTGTCTTTCACCACCTGGCTTATTCACTTAGCATAATGCTCTCCAGTTCCATCCATGCTGTTGGGAAGGGTAGGAGTTTCTTTCTTTCCGCTGCATAGTACGCCATTGTGTAAATGTACCATAGCTTTTTGATTCATTCATTTACTGATAGACATTTAGGTTGCTTCTAGCACTTGGCTATTATAAAATGTGCTGATATGAATATTGGGGTGCATAAATTCTTTTGAGCTGGTGTTTCATGATCTCTAGGGTATAATCCCATTAGTGGAACTGCCAGATCAAAAGGCAGTTGCATTTTTAGTTCTTTGAGGAAATTCCATACTGTTTTCCACAGTGGCAGCACCAAGCCTGCATTCCCACCAGCAGTGAACTAGGGCTCCCTTTTCTCCACAACCTCACCAGCACTCGTTGTTTGTTGATTTGTTTATGACGGCCATTCTGATTGATGTGACGGGGTATCCCACTGTGGTTTTAGTTTGCATTTCTCTGATGGCTAGTGATGCCGAGCATGCTTTCATGTCTCTGGGCCCTGCGTATGTCCTCCTTGGAGAAGTGTCTGTTCAGGTCCTTTGCCCATTTTTTAACTGGGTTGTATGTCTTTCTGGAGTGGTGTTGTGTGAGTTCTTTGTATGTCTTGAAGATCAAATCATAGTCTGAGGTATCATTGGCAAATATATTTTCCCAAACAGTTGGTTCCCTTTTCATTTTGCTGTTTTCTTTAGCCATGCAGAAGCTTTTTATTCTGATGAAGTCCCATTTGTTTATTCTTTCCTTTATGTCCCTTGTGGTAGCATTTTTAATTTGGCATACATTTCAGATCATGACTCTCACTTTTAGGAGTCTACTATAGAGAAATAGGTTATATAAACAAAAATGTTCACTGTAGTATTTACATCATCTCCTATACTATTACTCCCAAATCTTTTTCTATCCAGCATGTTCCTCTTTCAGGGTACCCTTCTCTTTGAGTTTCTTGTCTACTTCTGGCTACTTCTAGTTCCTGTCACTTTTTTCCCCCTTGACACCACCCTGTAAAATACCCTCCCTTGCCCTGGCTGATGTGCTCAGTGGGTTGAGTGCCAGCCTGAAAACAAAAGGGTCAAGGGTTCAATTCCCAGTCAGGGCACATGCCTTGGTTGTGGGCCAGGTCCCCTGTTGGGGGCACATGAGAGCCAACCACACATTGATGTTTTTCTCCCTCTCTTTCTCCCTCCCTTCCCCTCTCTCTAAAAATAAATAAAATATGTTTTTAAAAAAAGAAGTGCCTTCCTCATTAAATATATATAAATAAATATAATATATATATTATGTCTCTAAGCAAATGTCTCTCTTTTTCCTTTCTAAAAATTCCAAAATTCTGACCTTCATATATCCCAAACCTATTGGTTCCTCCTTCATTCTCAGCATGTGGCCCTTTTATTTCACTGAGAAAAAAAAGTTCACCAGGCAAGAACAATCTACATTTTCTTCCCTGTTACTTTCAAATATATCAGAATCTTTACCCCTCCCCCCTTCCTCCAAGGGAAAAGCACACTCTTTCTACCCCAGGTTATTTATTCCATGTGTGTTTTGGGTCTCATATTCATCCACTGCCTCAAGGATCTGGGTCTTGCATGATTTTTAATCTCTCCCTTTCAACTGAATCTTTTACTTCATTATAAACATGAGCTACTTTCTCATATATATGTAAAAAATATATTGACCTGCAGATAACCTTACATTTAGATATTATCTCTTTCCGTCCTGCTATAACAAAAATCTTAAAATAGACTTTTAAACTCATTTTTTCCACCTCTTTACGTCCTATTGATTTCACATGTCACCAGCAGATCAATGAAAGATGAACAGTGACCTCTATATAACCAACCTCACTGAATATTCTTCTCTCATTATGTTACTTTACATCTCTTTAGCATTTTATGTTGATGAATGCTCCCTTCACCTTGAAAATTACTCCTTCCTTAGCTTTCATCACATTATTTTCTTACCCCCTTTATTTCCGTCACCATCTCAGTATTTATATGGGAATATAGACTATCATCATTGGAGGTTTTGATAGAAGAGTGTTGCTAACTAACAAGGGAAAGATCTTTTTGTGTGTGGTTTTATTTATTTATTTTTAGAGAGAGAGAAAGGGAGAGGGAGAGGGAGAAAAACATTAATGCGTGGTTGCCTCTCATGTGCCCCCTACTGGGGACCTGGCCTGCAACCCAAGCATGTACCCGGACTTGGAATAACACCGGTGAGCCTTTGGATCTCAGGCTGGCACTCAATCCACTGAGCCATGCAAGCCAGGGCTAGAATTAGAATTTTTTTTTAATGTTTTAAATTCTTAACCAGGGATATGTTTTTTATTGATTTTAGAGAGAGGAAGGGAGAGAGAGACAGATAAACAATTGGTTTCCTCCCATGCGTACCCTACTAGGGATCGCACATGCAACTTTTGGTGTACAGGCTAATGTTCCAACCAACTGAGACACCAGTCAGAGCGAATAAGAATCTTTAAATTCTTCTTTATTTTACAATTAATTCCTTTGTTTATTTAATATTCACTGATACAAGCACTATCATAGGTGTTTGGGATACAATGGCGGATAAGATAGGGTCCATGTCCTAAAAAGAACTATAAAGAGAAAGACAAATGAACGAATTACAATACAGCGCCAACAGCAGTACAGGGTTGTGGCCTCCCTCCTGACTCACTTCTATGTCTTTAAATAGCACATTCTCTCCTTATCTATGTCTAAATCCTACTAAGAAAAAAATAAAAACTTTTTTTCTCAATTTTGAGGCATTTGTGCCTAAAATAATTTGAGGATCAACCACCTAAACTGCTTCTGTAAATTTCTTCTACAAAAATGATTTATCAGATTGACCACTGTGGTAAATTACCAAACAAATCATACATTTACAACATGGAAAATAACATCACACATTGTTTTATGCTTACCCAACAAAACTAAATTTAGTCAAGGCCAGGTCTTTAAGTGTATGTGAAGAAAGCCCCACCCCACCACCACCCCTGCTGCCGTTCTCCTTAGCATTATTCTTTAGAGTAAAGCTTTATCTGTAAAAGGCCACTCTTGGCATAAAAATACATTACCAGGGAGAAGTGACATATCAACCCATTAGCACACATAAAAACTCTCTCGAACATTAGCAATAGTACATATTTGCACAGACTTCATCAGATCAGCTCAGAATATAACACAAAAAGGATAAATTTGGCAAAATGGTGGAGGTGGAGATGAAGGAGGCAGCATTAGTCACTTGAATGAGAAATATTAAAAACAAACTATGTATATTAAGATAATATCTAAATACTCTCAAAGAGCATACAGCAATAAACCCCTGGAAGCTGCATTAACTTTACATTTACTGGTGTATCCTAGGAGGTTCCGCATCCACTAAATTTATACTCATGGCTATCCATGAGTATCCCAGAGGCGGCTCCCCCTTTTTAGGGAACCATGTGACAATCCGATCAAAGTCTGGCCTTCTTACAGGCCCATTTTAAATGGGCTTGACAGCTAGCGGCCTGGAGACCACCTTTGCCAATGACGCCACACGTCTGTGCCAAGCTGTTTGAAACAACCCTGTAAGAAATCAGAAAAATCAATCAAGGTGACATACAAAGTAAAGGAGTATAAGGCAAAAAGAATTAAAAAATAAGCAAATTCTTTCTTCCTATTCAAGCCCCATTTCTCTTAGCAACCAAAACACAGCAGAATAAAAAATGCTCATTAGCCTCTGTTTAAAATGTCTTTTTTGTGTCCTTATCCGCTGTTGATTTCCTTCCCTGTTCCCTATAGCCTTTCCTCTCTTCTCCACCTACTATTTTTGATCTCGTTCACATATTCTCTCTTTCTTTCTGTTGAAGCCCCTTACCTTAAAGAGTTTAGGACTGATCCATTTTCCCACCTCCAGACAGAATTCTTCCTCAAACCAATCCAGTAAAAAGTGTCGTTATCTAAGAAAATTTTGACCGTGTCCTAAGAGAGAGATTGAAGATGAAAAAAAGTAAGAAAGATGCAAAAAAACAAAGAAGAGACCAGTGTCATTGTCAAACATTTATTCCTTAACAGCCTCTCTGTCATCATTATTATGGACTGAATGTTTGTGTCTCCTCCCAAATTTTATATGTTTAAACTCCAAACTCCAATGTGATGGTATTTGGAGATGAGGTCTTTGGGAGATAATTAAGTCTAGATGAAGTCTTTAGGGTGGGGCCCTCGCTAAGGAAGGAATTGGTGTCTTTATAAAACATGACCAGAGCTCAATCTCCCTCTACCATGTGGGGACAAAATGAGGCGGTAGCTGTCTACAAGCCATTAATAAGGTTCTCTCACCAGGAACTGAATCTTCTGGAACCTTCATCTTGAACTTCTCAGCCTCTAGGACTGTAAGACATAAATGTCTGTTGTTTAAGCAACCCAGTCTATGGTACTTTAATAGTCCAAGCTGACTAAAACAACCACATACTGCAGATAAACTATTCTCTCTTCTAAATTCTAATTCTACAGATTTGTTTGCAGAGTGGAGCACTTCCTAGACTTGACCTATTTGTCTGTAATCGCATTCTTATAGCAGATAAGATAAATATTATATTTCTACCCTCTGTTGCAGCTTCCTCCTTGATTGGATGGAGCACCTGATAGGTATTCAGATAACTTTGAAAAAAAAAAAAAAACAACTAAATACTGCTGGGGATGCAGTCACCTTTTTCATTATCATTTAATACATAAATTATTATTAAGCTTATGGGAATTTTTTTTCTTTTTCTACCAAACTCCCATTTTCTAAGTTCTTATCCAACTTACATAAGACAAGAGAAAACGGATCTTAAGGAAAAAGCTTAAGGTAAAGTTGAATTGGTTACAACCTTTATGTAGCTGAGACTGCTCACTAGAACAGAGAAAAGATTCTTTCCTCTGTAGAGTCTGACACTGAAATGGAGTTTATATCACAAGGGAATTGCCTCTATAAATGAAATAAGATAAAGGATAAATCCCAGAAGATCAATTTTGTTGTAGGATTTGGTGTTAGTGTAATGAGTTTATTTTGCAAGAAATGATCACCTTGGACTTTGTTACAGAGTTTTGTTGTGATATTTAATTTTCAAGGTGATGTTAATGTGACAAGTATTGTGTTTGTTCATGAGCAAAAAGCTAACGCTGTAAGTCTGAAGACCAAAAAATTAATGGAAAACCATGACTTGTAAAATAAGCAACTTGGTGTTTGTATATGTTTTTAGAATATGAATGGAAATTTAAAGGCATTCATATGTGTCTTAACAGATAGCAAAAATAACCTGGTTACATGTCGTGGGCAAGTATAAATGTATGCAGTAGCATTCATGGACATCAATAACTGATGTCTCTGTGTTCTAGCAAATATTGTATGTATAATTAATAATTGTCCAGATCCTCTCTTTACTTCTTATTCTAATTCCCTAAAGTCACTGCAAATCCCTTGTGAAAGAAAATGGAAAACTAATACAAAAGCATTTAAATTGTTTCCTATGTTCCTCCTATTTCCCAGCAAGCTTGTTTTTCAGCGTTTTTGTTTAGTTACTTAGTTGGTTTAGTTTCCACTGAGTTAATTTGATCTGAGGGATGTTAAAGAAAAAGACCATAACTTGTTCCCATGAGCATTTCCTGACTGATCATTTGCTTCAAGCCTCTTTCCTGTACCAATGCTTTGAGATAATCGGCCATGTCATCCAGCCATAGCCATTACAGAGAACATCATGTTCTCAGACTCAGTGAACTTGATTTGATTCCTCTCCTCCCTCTGTAACCTTCTCTCCTTTGGAGGAACAGGCATGCAGAAATGGCAGTGAGATATGTTGTTTCACAGTAATTTAGTGGTAGGACTTGGACTAGAAGCCAAGGCCTCGGCATGTCCTCTACAGATACAGTCCATCTCTCTGTAACTCATCTCTCTCTTTAAACTGCACTTTCACTAGACCTGAAAAAATTGTGAGGCTCCTAGGATGTGCCAAGAATCACACACATTCAGCCAGCTAAGACACTATACATTCTCTCTGATAAAACAAGACAAGATGACAATTTAAGCTTTTATTATAACATTAAATTCCAATATTAGTTACTTCCCTGGGGTTTTGATGTTGCTACAGGATGGTGAATGAATAAAAATGTTTATTAAAGCTAATACATTTTGTTTCTCATTATTCCCGAGGTCAGGTATCTAAAACCTATGCTACAAGAGGGAGACCCAAGATGGCAGAGTATTCCTGGATTTCCCTCAGGCCATCTGAGAGCTCTCCTCTAGAAGCTTTTAAAAAATCAAAGAAAACTCTTTTCTTCTTGAAGTTTCAGGAAAAAGTATTTTTAAACTCCCTCATTTTGCTCCAAATATATGCATTTTTGTTCATTTAACTGTTCATTCAAAAGCATGAACTTCTTTTCTTTAAACTCTGGCTATTAACTTTGTTAACTTTTCAAGGCAGGGTCATGGACGACTAAGGTGAGTTCTTACAGGGACAGGGATATAGGTGCTATAATATGTAGCAGAGGTATTATTCACAAATTGTATAGTGGGCACCTATATGGGGAGAAGAAAGGACATTTTTTAAAAAGATGCTCAATTTCCTAATATGATCATTATATTGTTGTTATACCTTGGAGCAGGGGATGAGTAATAAAAAGATCCACCACTGATGATGAAAATTATCAGTTTGTAAAATAATTAAGAGGAAAAGTAGAATATTTTATACATGTTGCTATGAGTAGGCTACAGGGTAACTTCAAATAAAATAGAAATGTGAGGCAATTATTTAAATAAAACAAGATAATGTCATATCTGAGAGATTATCATATTAAATGATGTCCATTAAACTGTAAAACTGGATGAAAGAAGTACCTGCATTCAGAATGTCCTGAATGTGGTTGATTGTGTATTAGATTATGGTGTTCCAGCTTTCGTACTTATTTAAGGGTTGATTTAAATTTTTCATACTATAAAACATTAAAAATAATAAGAGAGAGATATCACTCAGGTGCCATTAAAAACTTACTTGGAATATGTGTACCAACATCAATTTTCCTTTTGTAATACTTAATAATAATAGAAGAATCATCAGCCAATCCCCATGTTTCAAATCACTTAGGGAAGTGGGGAGACAAAAATTCTGGGTAAGTAACAAGGCCGAGACTAAAAAACTAGATTCAAAATCATGGTTTTGAGAGACTAGGCTGTCACAAGTTGCAGGTTTTCAAATGGACTTTGATTTGAAGGTTATAAAGTTTTGTTGGCAACAGTTGGGATAATAATGTAATGAGAGGAGAAACACCAATAAAACTACTTTTCAGTAAAGCTTATATTGAATGATACTTTGCTGAAAATAACAGAAGCATCAGTGTTTAAAATACACATTTTATCATTAAGAGCCGCAAACTTAACTGATTAATACTGTGACATTACATGTTTTGAAAAATATTTGAATCCAGATAATTCCAAAAATACCAATGTGTCAATTGATTTCTTCAGATATTTGCAGTGAAGTTAGACTAGGAACTAATAGAATATCTCAAAAGGAATTTCAACTGGAGAGAATCAGGATTTTGACTATTTTTAGACTGAATGTTGGTTTTGTAAATTTGCTTGTCAGGAAGTTCAATCAAATGTCAGGGTTTTTTGTTTTTTGGGTTTTTTTATAGAAGGAAAGACCAGAACAACTTAGAATTATTTTCTGTTAGGATTATGACCTATCTTAAAGAATTTTAAAAATTACTTTGGTACTTATATATTTTAATTGTTTTTGTGTTTTCCAAATACCATATTGATATTTTAATGAAATTAATTTGTCCCATTAAAGCTATGAAAAGAATTTCTTAAAGCAAAAAAACAAAAAACAAAAAACTTCTTTTTATCCAGAAGCTACTAAGAAAGCCATGAGATTTCAGCCCTCTACGATTATTTCAATACCACTAGATGTCCCACTGTGATGTCATTTTTATTCCACTCCATGCAGATGGTTACTAAAAAGCAAGAATTCTAGGACAATGCTCTTAACAGCATCTCTAGACTATAGCTTCTTTTAGCTACTTGGAGACTTCTGCTAATATAATTAAATGATTAAAGAGTTTCTCTTCTAATGTCAAGAAAGGCATTAAAGCCTCTTTGCATTCCCAGTAAAAACACTAAAGAAGAATGAATGTCTTAGCTTGGGCTGCTATGACAAATTACCATAGACTGGATGATTGAAACAATGGACATTTATTTCTCACAGTCTGGAGACTGGGAAGTCCAAGATCAAGGTGCTGGTAGATCTGATGTCTGATGAGAACCTGCTTTCTGGTTTGCAGATAACTGTCTTCTCACTGTATCCTCACATGGTAGAGAACAGAGACAAAGGCAAACTCTCTAATTTCTCCTCCTATAAGAGCACTAATTCCATCATGAGTGCCCCACCCTCATGATCTAATTACCTCCCAAAGGCCCATCTCCAAATACCAACACATTGTGAATTAGGGATTCAATATATGAATTTTGGGGGGTTTTGGGGGTGTTTTTGGTTTTTTATTTTATTTTATTTTTTAATATATATTTTATTGATTATGCTATTACAGTTGTGCCATTTTTTTTCACCCTCTTATTCCCTTCCACCCTGCACCACCCCTCTCCCCAGCATTCCCCTCTCTTAGTTCATGTCCATGGGTCGTACATGTAAGTTCTTTGGCTTCTCCATTTCCTATACTATTCTTCACCTCCCCTTGCCTATTTTGTACCTACTATTTATGTTGCTTATTCCTTGTACCTTTTCTCCCATTCTTCCCCCTCCCCTTCCCTTCTGATCTCCATTTCTATGATTCTGTTCCTGTTCTAATTGCTTAGTTTGTTTTGTTTTTGTTTTTTTAGGTTCAGTTGTTGACAGTTGTGAGTTTGTTGTCAGTTTACTGTTCATAGTTTTTGATCTTCTTTTTCTTAGATAAGTCCCTTTAACATTTAATATAACAAGGGCTTGGTG